GCGGGCGGCCGCTGCCGAGAAGGCGAGGCGCGACGACTGCGACCACCCGTCAACCTCCCGCGGCGGCGGCGGCGCAACCTCTGCGAGCCCGACGCCCAGGCCGCTGCCGATATGTCGACCTCGGCGAGCTCGGGCGGCTCCGAAGGCAGTCAGGATCACCCGACCCCCGCCGACTGCGAGCGTTGGATCTCCTCCTCCAGCTCGAGCGAAGGCAGCAGGCCGCGTGGAGCTGGCGCGCCAGGCCAATCTGGCGAAGCTGAGAGCCGCGACGTTCGGCGGCATTACCTACGACCCTCGGTCTGGGCGGACCTTCTTGCTGAGGCACAGGGTGCACGCCGCCACGATCAGCAGCTTGGACAAGCACGTGGCCAGTTCCTTCGAGTGGGCCGTGGCACTGTCGCTGAAGGTCATCACGGCGGTCCGCCTGGACGCCCTCCTGGCGGGCTACTCGGACAGGCTATTCTGGGAAGGCGAGCTGGCGGAGACTGGGTCGCGGCTGTTGGCGTGCGCGCAGTACAGGCTGCCGCGCGTGCCGAGGCCGCCGCCCGGAGGCCTGCCCTCGGCGCGGGCCGCGCTATCAGGCTCCCTTGTGCCCTCCAGGAGCACGCCAATAACGCCCGTCGGCGAGCCGACCGTGTGGGGCATGATCGGGGTCGCCGCGTTGGAGGACGACTTCGAGTGGGCGGGGGCTCTGGCACCAGCCTGGGGGCCGGCATGATCCACCTGCTGAGCGACCTCGTCAACGGGGCGACCGAGACGCTGGTGGGGCCAGGCCACGGCGCTGCGCCGCGCTGGGCATTGTTGCCGTACCCGATCGAGGATTCGACGCGCAGCAAGACGCCCACGCAGGACGAGGGCGCGCTGCTGCTGGGCGCGGCTAGGTGTGGCGGCGGCGACAGCTTCCCGCGGCAGCTCCGCGCTGCGCGACTCGCCGGTGCGCGCCTGTGGCCATACCTCGCGGAGCTCGAGAAAATAAGCCAGCGCCGGGCGGTCTGGCCCGAGCGGGTGGAGACCGACGTCGCGTCGACCCTCGGGGAGCAGAGGCGGCCGCCGCTGCCGAGCTTCCTGGAAGGGAAGCCGCCGCTGTCGAAGCCGCCTTGCGCGGCCTCGTCCGCGCCTGTCGCGCCGCGCCTGGCCAGACGCTGCTCGAGGTCGGCTTCGGGCGAGGCGATGTCGCTCGAGCCGACGACTTCTCGAGTTTCGGGCACGGTGCTTGGAAAAATGGATCCTTAGTGACTTAGTGGCTGACGCCCGGGTGCACCGCCGTCTTGTGGGCTGGATTTCCTCTCGGTGCGTCCGCGCGGTTGTCTTGGCGTGGCCGAGATTCGGAGGGGTCGCCTCCAGTAGCGCGTTAGCCCGCCCGATTCACAAGTGTCTGACTCTTTGCTGCCCGCGTCTAGCCATCTTCCCATCCAACAGCGCTGACGTGCGATCTCCCGTGTCTCAGCATCTCGTGAACATTTGTGACGGGAGACACCGTATCGCGTCGCCCTGTAGGTTCGGATGTCGAGCGAACCACGATAATGTGTGGACCCTCGGGTTTTCTTGCGGCTTCCCCGCGGACGACGGCGGCCCTCGCGGGCGCGCCGCGTTCGGCCCGCCGAGCAAAACTCCTTGCACGCGTGTGTCTCTACCCTTGGCCAAGTGGCTCTGCTCGTGGATCTCTGAGGGGGCCTCCAGGGTATCCGAAAGCTTCCACAGCAAGCTGTTTCTGGCATGAAGCGGCCAGGTGCCAGGTCGGGCAGTGTAGGGTCGTGGTGGCGCGGTCGAGGCGCCGCTCATATAATGCGAAGTTCGAGCTTGCACACGACCGAATCGTTCGCACAGCTCCGCTGTTAAGATGTCTGGCCATCGTCGGGGGTCTCAGACCTACCCAGATGTTTGTGTCGTGCTGGTCTGATTTGTCCCACGGCCATTCTTGTTCCGCAACATTTCAAGCACACCCACCCTCGTGCCATCCTGTGGTTTAATTCAATGTTTCGTCCTCAGGGTTCGTTGTGGCGCGGTCGAGGCGCCACTCATAGAATGCAAAGCTCGAGCTTGCACACAACAGAATCGTTCGCACAGCTCCGATGTTAAGATGTCTGGCCATCGTTGGGGGGATCTCAGACCTCATCATCATCATCATCATCATCATCACCACCATCATCAGCAGCGTTCTTAACATCGTCATCACCACCATCATCATCATCACCATCACCATCCGCATCACCATCAGCATCACCACCATTAGCATCATCACCGTCAACATGATCATCAGCAGCCGCATCATCAGCATCGTCATCAGCATCATCATCGTCATCGTCATCGTCATCGTATGTCTTCGTCATCGTCATCAGCTTCGTCAGCATTGTCATCAGCATCATCATCAGCATCATCATCATCGTTCAGCCCTCGATCCCCTCCCTCCGTCTCCACCGACGATTATCTCCTCATCCTTGTTGCGATGCGTCGTCCGCAACCAAAACATTTACACATACACACATTCTAATGGATTGACTATTGGGCCTCATGGGAGGGTGGCGGTGTATAAATCACCCCTGGGAGCCAGCGACTTTATACACCGCCACCCTCCCTGAAGATACATGCAAACATCGTCGGATGGGTGTCTGTGTATATGCTTTTGTGGCGTGTGTCGCCATCCGAAGGATACCCTGCATCTCCATCCTCTCAAGCTTTCCCACTCTTCTCTCATCTATGATTATCCTTTTCCTCCTCCTCCTCCTTCTCCATCTGTCGTTTCATTCTCCTCCAGCCCTCCACCTCTTTTGAGTAGCGAGAAGAGTTCCCGCCGCTCGGTGATCAGATCTCGCGGGCCCCGTCGAGGAATATCAAGGATTTGTGTCGATGGTTCGGCCTCCCTGGCTGTTCCGAAACATCGGTTGTAGTCGTCGTGTTCCCCTCCTTTGCGCATCATGTACTTTCTCTTCGTCGTAGTCATCCTCCTCCTCATCTTCCTCCTCCTCCTCCTCCTCCTCCTCCTCCTCCTCCTCCTCCTCCTCCTTTTGTATAATTTATCAGGGTTCCCTCCCCTTCATCCTCCGTCCACCCCCTTCCTCCTGCGTGCCCCCCCCCCCCTCGTTTCTCCTTTCTTTCTTTCTCTCTGAAACGTGTCGGTACCTATTATCATATTTTCTTCACCCTCTTCGAAGCTCGATCCTAGACTATCCTCCTGATCCTTCCTCCTTGTCGTTTTTCTCACCAAGTAGGCCGTCGGATTTACGTAGGTCCTGGGCTTGTGGTGGTCGAGGGCGGACCGTTGCGGAGGAACATCTAGGAGGTGCAAGGTACAATCATCATCGATGCTATTCACCCGCCATGTTCAGACCTGTTGAAGTCTATCGCCTTGAGCTGAACTCTGCCTCGCGGGCTGAGACTTACGGGTATCGTCGATTACTTTCTGTGTGACAAAGCCTTCATTAGGGGGGGGGCGTGCCAACAGAAGGGCGACGCGCGGCCTCTGCGATCGCAGATCCTCGTTCTGGCGTCCTCTCGCAGCGCTGCGATGGTCACGCGCCTGGCGAAGGAGCCGGGAGCCAACCATCGCACGAGGGTTCGTTGGCTCACGGCCTCTGCGACCGCGGTCTGCCGCTGCCAACATCCGCTCGCAGCGCGGCACCTGACATTGCGCGGCTGAGGGTACCAGCAGCCATCTGTCGGGGCCCGGTGTTTCGACCACTACGTGCACACCGGCTGGTAGGGCCTGCAGAGCTCGGAGCTCCCCCATCGCACTCTTGGGGTAAGGCAGGCCCCGGAGGTCTCAGGACTTCTCATGAATCGGCGGGATAGCCGGGAGGCGGGCAGGGGGGCGGGGGCGAAAGGGACGCGAGGAGTGGTGCAGGGGGCAGGAGGGAGGGGGGGGGACCTGAAATGAGGGAGGGAGGGAGCAGCAGGAGAGGGGGGAAGACAGGGGGCCTGTGCCAGCAGCGTTCCAGCAGGAGCTCCGCGAGGTCTGCAGCCCGAGCATGGCGGCGGGGTTCACCGTCGCCCCTCTGCGGACGGGGGGACGACGACCGACAGCAGTCCCTGCACAGGTTGAACGGGACTCGCTGTCGGTGCTGCAACGGAGGCTGTCCATCGGAGCGACGCCAACAAAAACGGGGTCGTCTGCGTCGAAACTGGCGCACGAGCTGCCCGCGTCAGGTTGCGCGGAAGAGCCCTCGTCTCCAATGCAGCGTGCCGTGCAGGCGGCCCGCGTAAGCCGCCGCGTAAGGTCGCCGTGCCATCTCGCGTAAGACCTCCTGCTGATCGTCGCTTATCTGAGGCAGAAGGTCGCCGCCGCTCTTGGACCGCCTCTGCTGCTGCACGTCGTGCCCGTTTCTATCTGTGCCCGTTTTCAGGCGTGCCAGTCTGCATTCTGGCGCCGCTGCCTGCGGCGCTGCCCCCGGCCCTCCGACCCGTTGCATTACCTTGCCGCCGCCCGCGCTCCCCACGGCACGCGCCCGGCAGCCAAGACGCTGAGATGGGCACCGCTTCGGGGTCGCGAGGGGCCTCCGGTGCTCGAGCCGCTCTTCGGATGTATGGAGGGGCCGGGATTCGGGCTTGGCGCGTTGCGCCGCCGGCTCTGGCCCACCACGCTTCGGCGCGACACGCCATGCACGTCCTGGTCCCCGAGCGCCGGCGCCCCGAGCTTCTCCCCGCCCCCCGCCCCCGCGGAGCGCAGCGACCAGAGCCGTCCGCTCGCCTGGCGCAGCGTGTCGCCAGGGGCCGCCGCCGCGACGCGCGGAGCCGGAGCTCCCGGCCGCACACGCCGGAGGACTTCTCCGGAGCCGAGAGGCTCGCCCTGGCCCTGGCAAACGCCACGCGGGCCTCCCCATCCGGCGCTCCCTCCTGGCAGCACGAGGGCTGCAGCAGCCCGGCTGGGCGCGTCGCTCGAGGAGGAGGAGGAGGAGGAGGAGGAGGAGGAGGAGGAGGAGGAGGCGCGCAGCACGAACATGGCTGCCCCTGCTTCTTCTCCCGCAGCCGGCTGCTTGCTCGAGCCCCACTGCCCCGGCGCCACCATGAGCCGCACTCGGAGCCCGCGCGCGCGCACGACCGCCGCCGTGCTGGCGGCGGCGCCCGGGCGGCAAGCGCCGTGCGCGTGCCCAGATCCTGGCCGCGCCATCCCAGGGGGCCCAGGACCGGCGCATGTATGAGGCGTTCCAGAACGAGCCTCGCCTTCGAGGGTCGGAGGAGTTGCCATCTCTTCCTCGGCGGAAGGCGGCGGAAGGCTGGCGGAAGACGGCGGAAGTAAGACGGGGGCGGCTCCGCCGTCGGAAGCCAGCGGAAGTATAACGTGCACCGCCGAGAGATGACAACCCTTTTGGGTTCAGGGTTTATGGAGCCCGCCATATGCCTCCATGGCAAGGCCAGGAGCGCGTATGCACCAATCCTGGGGGAGCAAAGGGTGCCGATACCGCTGCGCCCCTCCCGGGATGCGTTCTGACCTGAATTTCGGGGCGAGTCCAGCCGTGGCGACGAGGGGTGGGTGGCGGCATCGGTGTGCCTTCTCCTCCTCTGAAATCCTGGGCTCAGGCTGAAGCTGGCAAGGGTCGGCACATGTGCATAGTCAGAGTGAGGGGGCCGAACGGTGTTGGGGGATTCCGTGGCCTGGATACTGCTTGTCTGTTGTTGCCAGTGTCGTCGTCCCCCCAGGCCACCCCACCCGCCACCCGCCCGCGACAATCCCGCGACCCACTCTGCGACCCATACCGCGACCCACCCCGCGCCCGCCCCCTCACTCTCATCCACATCTGCGGGGTGCTACATGCCAGTCCTTCCAGGTGCTCGCGGCAGCCCAGGCGCCGCTCGCCGCTTCCGCGCCGCAGGGGGGGGGCCGCAGGGCTTTCCTCGCCCGCAACGGGACCGGCTGGCCAGAGGCCGCGGCCGAGCCCGAGGCCCCGCCGCCGCCCGAGCGGCGCGATCATCGCGGAGGGGCCGCCGCGCTGCTCGAGGAGCTCGAAGAGCTCGTCTCGAGGCGTGAGCAGGCCCGCTACACGAAAGTTGGCCGCGGCGCGCCAAAAAGGGGAAGGCAGACTTTGGCTCCAGATCCGCCGTACTCTCTGGTCGATGGCGAAGGCCGCACGCCGGGTGCTGCCGACACTGAGGGGCGACGACGACGACGACGACGACGACGACGACGACGACGACGACGACGACGACGACGACGACGACTTGGCCTCTTGGGGCCATCTTGGGGTGCTCTTGGAGCTCTTTTGGGCCTCTAGGGTGCCTCTTTGGGGCTTCTTGGGCGCCTCTTGGGGCCTCCTCTGCAGTGCTTTGGTTGATTGTCTGATTTCAGATCCTGTCGGAAATGCACCCCGAACGATGCGAAACAAAAGGACGGAGTCCGCCTCGGACAAGTGGGGAGGCTATTTCCACAAGAGGCGACGGCAAAGTTGGGCGGATGTCGACATCAGAGGAGCCTGAAAAGATCACAAGCGCGACTCCAATAGAAAACGACTTCTGGGTGTTCTGGCCGCGCCGTCGTCGGTTCACTTTCGGCGGGGGGACTAACGGGTCGGGCGGCCGCGCCGTCGTCAGAATTCCAACCCCCTCCTCTTCGCTGCAATATCCCCGCAGTTCCCCAGGTGGCGGTCGTCAGTTTTGTGTGACCCTCTCTTAGTGGTGAGGGAGGTGCTTCCGTCAGTTTTGCGACCCCCCCCCTCATTTTTTTCTGGTGAGTCCACGTCGTCGGTTCTGACGGTTCTTGGGTTTGATCTGAATGATTCCCCCGTGATCTGAAAAATAGGGCGAAACGTTCCGCCCTACAGGCGAAATCGCCCAGAGCACGGCGGATCCAGAGTCAGAAGAGGGAGTGGGCCTCCTCAGAAGGCTCAGAAGGCCTCTGGCCTTCTGTAAAGCATTCTCGGCCTCTCAGTTCGCAGGTGGATACGCTCTGAGAACTCCGTCCGGAAAACTCGCAGAGACCGGGGACTGGGCCAGTGACAGTGTCTCGCTGGGGGCGCAGAGGAGTGGCGCAGTCTCACGTCCGATGTTATGTCGTGTTCGGAGCTATCGCGCTTCGGCTCCCGAGGGCCCCGCGTAAGAGTCCTGCCCCTTGCGGGCCGCCTTGACAGTACGTCCACTCCCATTTCGCTTTCCGACGCCCCGCCGCCTTCTGAGAAAAGGCCTGCCCTCTCTCGCTCCCTCCTCCTCCTTCTCCTCCTCCTCCTCCTCCTCCTCCTCCTCCTCCTCCTCCTCCTCCTCCTCCCTCCTCCTCCCTCCTCCTCCCTCCTCCTCCCTCCTCCTCCCTCCTCCTCCCTCCTCCTCCCTCCTCCTCCTCCTCTCCTCTCTCCCCTCCTCCCCCTCCTCCTCCCTCCTCCTCCTCCTCCTCCCCCTCCTCCTCCTCCTCCTCCTCCTCCTCCTCCTCCTCCTCCTCCTGCTCCTCCTCCTCCTCCTCCTCATCCTCATCCTCCTCCTCCCTCCCCGGTGCGCCGCCGTCGTAAGGGTGACCTTCCGCTGGAGTGAGCTCTGGTGCGGGAGGCCACTGGGGCACCCCGACCGCCGAGTGCGGTGCGATCGCAGCGACCTGCTCGCCGGGGTCTGGCACCCCCTCCCCGGAAAACCGCACAGGCGCCTATAGCGCCGTGGGCCGGCTCTCGCGAGTTCGGGTGTTGAGCGCTTCGGTGCTCTCCGTGGGGCCCAGCGTGGCGGTCTTCCGGTTTTCCCAGTCGAGTTGCAATGTGAGCACGCGTTGGCTGCAAGGCCACCGCCCACCACCACCACCACCCCTTCAGGGGCAACATTGGGGGGGGGGGGGGGGGGGGCAGGCTGAGGGGGGATGCATCGACCCCGAGTCGCCCATCCACTGCCAATGGGGGCTAATGGCCCACCCCGCCCAGGGCTCTGCGGATTTGCTATCGGGAGGCCTATCGCCGATCCACCGGCGATGTATCGCTGATACCAGGTCGATCCTGAGATCCGGCGCTGCGAACCAATTCAGCATCGCGAAGAAACCGGACCGGAGCCCCAGACCGCATCTTTCTGCGGCATGCTGTTGGGCTGGATCGATATGTGATGGTCCTGAGGCCCAGAATCGGGCGAAAGCGCCCAGTGTGAACAAAATGCTACGCCCAGATCTCAGGGGCCAAGGGGCCGCCTCACCCCTCAGGCCGCGCACCGAAGGTCACTCCCCTGGGAGACGGCCAGAGACAAGAATATACATTGCTAGAAATCATGAGCTTCCCCCTGCGGCGCCGTGTACACAGTATTCCTCAGTATCTAATGTTTCAGGAATGGACACTTTTAGAAGTTATTGTGTTCCCCATCGAGACCCGTGATGACAGTATCTTTCAATCTGAGCGACCCTGGGCTTATGATGTTCCAACCTATTTTAGCCTTGATCACCACAAAGAGTTTCGAGCACCAAGAAAGTACCGAAATTGGAGGGTTTTCACGTGTCGGGCCCTGGGAGGCGATACTCGTTCGACATTGTTTCGATACTTTTCTGGATGCTCGGAATTATTTCTGGGATGTGGTCCTCAAGTACGATGGGGGCAACAGAACCCTGGACAAAATCTTGCCCAGGGTTGCTCTTCTGCGTGTGGCCGGGCAGGCGATGGCGAAGACGAGCTGGCTGCTGGGCGGGATCACAGCGGCGGCGGCGGGCTCCGTGGTGCTGGGCACCACTGTGTTGGGCGTGGACGCCGCCAGGAATCGGAGGGCGCCACCTGGGCGCCGCACAGACTTATGATGTTCCAACCTACTTTAGCCGTGATCACCAGAAAGAGTTTCGAGCACCAAAAAAGTACCGGAACTCGAGGGTTTTTACGTGTCGGGCCTTGGGAGACACTGTTTCGACACTGTTTCGACTCTCTTTCTCGACACTTTTCCGGGCGCTCGAAATTATTTTTGGGATGTGGCCCTTACGTACGACGGGAGCAACATAAGCATATATACGGGTTCGACTGTGCCGACATTCGCGCGTACGCGGCCTGCGTAAGTAAGATGGCCTGGAAGCGCCCTCGTGTCCAACGTAGAGTGCCGCGCTGGCGGCCCGCGAAAGCCACCGCATCGTACGTTAGATCCTTTTCTTTTCGTCGCCCACTTGTCGAAGAAGAAAGGAGCGGCTTAAGTTCGACGGTCTGCGCGGATTTCTTGGATCTGCGCTGGGCCCCCCTGGCGGCGCCTCCAGTGCCGCCCCCAGCGCGCTCCGCGCGCAAGGGAGGGGTGTCCGGCGCCGCAGGTCCGAGAGATCCGCACGGACAGTCGAAAGTCTATGTTTATGCCGCTCCTGCTTTCTCCCACTGCACACCAGCACTGGTCCTGGCCAGGTCGCCCCTGGGCCACGAGCCCGTGTGAACACGCCCAGCTGGCTGGGCCGGGCGGGCCCATACGCCGATCTTGCGCCCGCCCTGGAGGAGCAAGGCACCCGTGTGTTTTCAGACTCGTGCTCTCCCGCACCCCCAGGCCACCGATGCTTCCTCCCACTGTGCACCCGCAGCACCGATCCTGTGGCCAGGCCGGCCCTGGGCCCACGCACTGCCGCGAGAGAGAGAGAGAGAGGTGATGGGCCTGTTTTCCACCACCACCACCACCACCACCATAAGTTGGAGGGGGGGAGGAGGATGAGGACGAGGAGGAGGAGGAGGAGGAGGAGGACGAGGAGGAGGAGGAGGACGAGGAGGAGGAGGAGGACGAGGAGGAGGGGGGGGAGGGGGAGGACCCCCCCCCCTCCAACTTATGGTGGTGGTGGTGGTGGAAAGCAGGCCCATCAACGCACTGCCGCGAGAGAGAGAGAGAGAGAAGGGTGCAGGTCTCGCGCGTGCGCGGGCCGTCTGCCCGCTCGACGTTTCGCCGCTCGCGCGGGGCGCCAAAGCAGCACGCTTAAGTTGAGCCTGTCCCTCTGCAGGAGGAATCTTGAAAACTAGGCAAACAAAATATGGGGACGAGTTTTTTAAAGTATTGGTGGTGTATGTTTGGTGCATTTTGGGGGTATCGTTTTATTTGTTGTCCAAAATCCGGCTGTAGGGGGACATGCCCGACCTAACAGCACGCCTGTCCCGCCGTCGGCCGCGCC